GTGTAAAGTCCTAGTGGGGTTTTTCTATGGGAATATGTACTGCTCCACTATCTTCATAGCATGCATCAGTGTCCAGCACTACTGGGGGATTGTCCACCCACTTTCTCAGAAACTGAGTAACTGTGTAACAGTGTGTGTATGTGTTTGTGTGTGGATTGTAGTCTGGCTCCTCACTGTACCGCTATACCTGTATGACCAGACCGTTAAAGTCATCAATTTCAACATTACCTCCTGCCATGACGTCACTCGCTTCAACCAAACACAAATCCCTGTTAAATATGTCTTGACCATGGGCATTGTGGGATATGGAGTTCCCTGTGTGGTCTGTATAGTAGCATATCTACTGACGTTTCACTCTCTCAGGAGGTCCATAATTGGCGCCAGCAGCAATAATAAGAAAAGGAAGGCTATAATCCTCATGGTTACTGTGCTGGTGATGTTCCTGGTCTGCTTCACTCCCAGTAACATCATGCTGATTGTTCATTTCTCTCCTGGGTGCAGAGCTTCAGAATGACGTCTATGGTATCTACATCGTTGCTCTGTGTCTGGGCAGCCTGAACAGCTGCCTGGACCCGTTTGTGTATTATTTTATCTTGGAGGAGTTCAGAGATCATGTGATGAACTCGCTGATGTGCCGTAGTGAACGTACATCCAAACAGATGATGGTTTCCTCCAGACCTTTAAAGGTCACAGGAGAAATTCCAATGTTTCCAACAAACACAACAACATCTACGGTGGAACATCCAAACAAAGATTATCTGAATGCAGCACGAGATTAGCGGAATAAATGGACAGTCTGACGTGATCAAATAACGAATGCCTGAATCAGGTATGGTAGCGTGGGCTTCATTGTGGCTGACACTCCATGTATTTTGAGTTGTAATACTTCATAAAAAAGGGAACATAACTTAACATCTTAACTTAACAATGTAGTTACTGAATAATAAGCCTTAGTATGTAATAAGGCTGGGATTTTAAGAGGTTATTTAGTGACAGACATACAGACTAACATTACTAAGTAGCTACTAACTATTTTACTAAGTAGATCATAATCATTACTAAATGGTCAGTAATGTCTCAATTAATTATTAACTAATAATAGTAATAACTATTATAACTAGTATATACTGGCATATAATGTACTCTACTATTGTAAGCAGAATATTGTTTTAGATTTTATTACGTAGTATGTGTAATAATCAATGTATACTTTACATATGATATATATATATATATATATATACACACAATTTATATTTACACATTAAGAAACTACTTAACTAAACTACTTAATAACTAAAATAATGTTCTAGTTATCATTACTATGACTAGTTATTGAGACACTAAGCATTTATTAATGATTTTAAACTATTTCACAGAATCTAGAATAATGTTATTCCTTTTTCTTTCCTTAATGATTACCTGCCATACTACTGAACTGTTTAGTAATGTTTATTATTCTCTTAAGTACTGTTAATACATGTAATCTTGTTGCTGTTTAGTGTAGTTGGTGCCATTTATTGAAGCACCTCTGTTCTTTAGATTATGCTGACTGGCCCAATGAAAAATAACACAGATGATTTTCCTGACCGCAAAGTGAAAACCTGAAATATGCTTTACCAGACAATGACAATGTATGTGCACCTGAATGACTCCCTGCAGGTCAGCACTCCAGAAAAGTGGGACGTACACCAGCGTAATGGTGTAGAAATGTTCTGTCATCTATTGCAGTTTCCTTTTAAAAACAGTAGCCGCTGTAAATTAATCTGTTATACAGCAGCTTATACATGTCTGATCTGCACACTATGCTACTACCTATATTCGAGCATCCAAGTGAATCTGAGAGGTATGATCTACAACTAAGCATGTGAATAATTAACGGTTTATCATGGCTTATGATATTATTACAATGTTGTACTTAAAATATACAATTACACAATTACTATGTTGGTGTTAGCAATTGTACAACAAAATGATCGAATGATCAATTCTAAATGTTCTAAATGTTGTTCATTGTGTGTATGATAAGTTATTAAGTAAGATTAATTATAAGGTAAGTTTAATTTTAAAGCACTTTGACCAAATACTATTATATCTCAGTCCTGTTCAAATGCATGTTTATAAACAGGTGTTAAGACCACACTTGAATGCAGAGATGGATGTAGTACAACCCTGTTTCCAAAAAAGGTGGAAAGCTGTGCAAAATGAAAATAAATACTGAATGCAATGATGTGCAAATCATTTCAACCTTATACTGAATTCTAAATAGTACAAAGACATTTACTCTGTTTACTGTTTACACAAAATTGAAAGCAACACTTCATTTTGTAGCTTCATCATTATTCGAGATGCAACTTGTGGCTAAATATCTTACAGTTATGAACTCTTAGCTATGCTAAAAAACAAAGAAGGTATCTGCATATTGGTGGAGGAGAACTACAAAGTGGGATGTTATGCGGATGATATAGTAGTTTAAACTTTTCCCTAAATCTTTGGATAAGGTCAGTCTGTGCTGATGAGATGGTCTGTATTAGACCTGGTACATATTCAGTGACTTGTCAGGTCAACATCTACAGATATGAACTAGGACACTCCAAATAAAGTTAAAAGCAACTTAATTCAATATGTTGTTAATATGTTACTGATGGTCTTTTAAGTATTTATTACATCTAAAAAGGCACTCATAATAAAAATAAACTTACCGGTTTGCTAGGACTCACCGCGTCCCCAGGACAAATAGGTGGAACAGTGTCTAGCTTCAAAATAAGTTTAGTGGCCAACCCCATATGTTTTTGAGCTAAGTTTACAAAACAGTCCTCTGGAAAATGGCTACTGCAAACCTGAGTTTTCTCTAGAGGTTCAGCTGGACAGTCGATTTTTCCAAAGAAACTGCAGCTGTTTTTCTCTGATTTTCATTATGTATGAAGGCTGCTGTTTTCTCCTTTAGCTCTGCAGGAAAACAGGACACGTCTCTGCCATCGTTTTGAAAAAAATGTAAAACACAGCATGTAAAATACGACACATAATTAGCTACACCCAGCTCTCATACATATCCTTTCATCTTACATCATGCTAATGGTATGGAAAGCCACATCCTGCCCGTGGACGGGATTAGGTCAGGTGGAAGTGCTCAGTCATGGCGTTGACTACTTATTTCGCTCATGATGTGTCTTCTTCCATAAAAAAAAGTCACCACAGGGACAAAGACGTTTAAAACCATGAGGGCGTCTTTCAGAAGAACTGTTAAAAAATGTTTGTTTTTTTGTTTTTATACTTAAACGAGGTGCAGGAAGCGCATTCAATTTGAGAGGTTCCACCACAAATTAAGCTCCGCTTTTAAGTAACACCAATACAAACCCATTGTGATCCATTTGGCTTTCCTGAAATTTCCTCCCTCCCACAGCACTGAAGAGTCGTCTTTACTGGTAAAAGGTGTGGCAAACGCGCTGTTTCTGAAAGGAGGCGCATGCAGCTTTATGCAATTACTGAAGAAGAGAGAAGTGTTAAAATAGTTTGAACACTATTCCCCATCAGACCTTTTTAAACAGAACCAGAAAGCAAAAAAAAAAAAAGTTATTTTTTGCTCTTCACTTTTATGCATTGGTACCTTTTAATTTAACCTTGAAAATTTCAAAGTTGGGCTCTAATGGATTTCTGCAACGTTACCAAGCTGTCTCAAGGTAAGATACTTTTCCTCTCTGCTGCTGAAAGATATGGGAATGTAGCGGTCATCAAGATTATGACATGATAAAAGCCGATCAACTCTAGCGCTCCAAACAGACAACACTGATTATTATCAAATGGACACAGTACCTGATGTGTTCCCTCATTAAGTACGAGCCAGCTCCTTTTGGCTGTGTTGCTATAACATTTATAATAAACAATTTTGTTTTAGAAACAAAATGATGTGCTACAGTAATAATTAGACAAATAATAATAGCAACGATTTAAGGAATTCCCAACAACCTTTAAGCTGTAGCTACATCCTGAGATACTGAATAATCCCAAAAACCGATTGAACATGTTGGGCTTCAGGCCACCTGTCTTACATCCTGCATCTACTACATTAGTGTAACATCCTGTCTTGCTCTGTTTTAGCCTTGGCTTTCTTGTTTCCCAGTGCCATACGTTTTTGCTTAAACCACCATGTGCCTTTGTTTTCTTATATATTTACACCTTTGTCTCCTTTGGTCCCCAGCCAGCATTGTTAAATTGTTCATGGTTGCTTTCTTGGGGTTGTTTCTCTGTGATTTCTTTGCATTTGTCTAGTGTTAGTCTTTTCTTTGTGTTCATAGTCTGTTTGTTTTTCTTAGTTCTCTGTATTTGTTATCATGTTTTTGTGTTCATTCATGGATCCCCATGCCCCTTCCTTGCTTGCCTGTTACCTGGATGTTCTGTGAAAGAACTTTAATAAAAGACACTTGCACTTGTACCCTGCCTCTTTGTCTGCTTCACCACCCTACGTGTTACAGAATGCTGGCTCACCAAGGGTTACAGTGTAAGGACTCAGATACACAGGACTACCCTACCCAGTGTGAAATAGGAGTTTTCCCCCTCAGCTACTCTCGAGGACCCTATTGCGACTGAGGACACTTCCTTGCTCGCAGCAGGATGCCCCAGTGTTAGGGGCGAGGCCCCTAGGTTCAGAAAGAAGAGCCATAGAAAATGCTTTACCGAAAGCAAGGCAAGTGTTTTATGCATGGGGGAGAATAGTTGTGGGAGGGGGTTGTTTGGCTGAAGCCACAGAGTTGTTGGTCGACTGGAGAGAGCTGACTACAACGCAGTGGGCTGGGAGTTGCCCCCTGGGACATTTTGGATTTTCTATTCAATGCACCTCTGGTGCTGCCCTTTGCTCTGGAGAGCACTGACAAGCAACTGCCTGCCACTGAGGACACTGGTGCAGGTGTGCCTGCCTCCAAGGACATTGCTACAAGTCCGTCTGCCTCCAAGGACATCACTGCTGCTCAGCCTGTGCCTGAGGACATCAGCACGGCACAGCCATGTCTGCTCTTATCGCAACATCTCCTGACCTGTTGGTGTCTGAGTTCCCTGACCAGTCGACATCCAAGTTTCCTGACCAGCCAGCCTCCAAATTCCCTGACCCACCAGCCTTCAAGTTCCCTGACCTGCCAGCCTCCGAATTCCGTGACCAGCTGGCCTTTCTTCAGACCTGCCTGTGGTCTCAGTGTCTCCAGACCTGCCCACAGCCTGTGAGTCTCATGCTCTGCCAGTGGCTTCTGAGTCTCCTGCCCTTCCAGTGACTCCCGTGTCTCAGGACCTGCCCATGATCATAGATGTTTCCTGATTCACTAGGCTCTGTGTCTCCGGTTCTTGTTCCTAGCGCTGCTCCAGTTCCTACTCCTCAGCTCACTCCAGTGCCTGCTCCCTGGGATGCTTGAGTTCTTTCTCCCAGGGCCACAGCAGTTCCTGTGCCATGGGTTACTCTAGTCCTTGTTTTCAGTTTGGCTTCAGCACCAGCCTCCCAGCAACACGCTCCAGCGCTGGCCTCCCAGCAACATGCTCTTGTGCCATTATTGGCATCATGTGCCACATCCTTTTCCTGTGCTGGATGACCGTCCTTTCAAGTTCCAGGCTCAGCCAGCCACCCAGCCTTTCCAGTTCTCTGCCCTGCCGACCGCCCCAAAACCTTCAGGTTCCTATCCAGAATGAAAGACCTTATTCTGTGTTTTCCCCGTGTCTGCCCAGTCCACTATCCCTAGTTTTGTCCTGGTGTGTATGTTTTTGTACCCACTCCTTTCAGTGTCTCCACCCTGTAACTGTGTCTGTCCCTGTCCCCACATGTATATTCAGTCTCATGTTCCATCTGCTGTTCCATCACCTGTCCAATCCACTTTCCAGCCTCCTGTCCAGCCATTTGTCCAGTCTTCTATCCAGCCTTCCACTCAGTCCACTGTCCAGTCCCCCCATCAGTTTCCTTGTCCAACTTTTCTGTCCCATCCTTTGTCGCATCTCCTGTTCTGTCCGCCATTTCATCTCCTGTCCCGTCTTTAATTCAGTCTTTCACTCAGTCTTTTGTTTAGTCTCCTTGTCTGCTTCACCAGCCCATGCATTACAATTAGACAACAGAAAAAAGGATGTCAGAGGAATGAGAATATATTTTCAATGATTTTATCAATGAATATTGCTATCAGTCAGCAATTAAAACAACAATGCAACAAATTTGCAAATCGAAACTTAATCTCAGATTTTTAACTAAACATTACATTTTGTCATAACACAATATATTTTTGTTTTAATTTGGCTGTAAGAATGATGGCATTTGGGGATTTTTTCCCCTCAAACTCCACAACTCTAAAGCTATTATTATTGTAGGGCACACAGCTACATTGCTGTCTGCGATGTGGTGTGGCCAAGGGATATTGGTCTGGGATTGGTCTGGGATTACAAAATGAAAAAACAGGTGGTATCAAGAAAGAAAAAAAAATTATGATGAAAATGCAGTGAAAAACAAATCAGATGTATCGGAGCAGGTGGGCAGTGAGAAATGCTCTCCGAAATGTGGTTAGCTAGCATTATATTACAGAGCAGAAAGCAACGTTTGGTGTGTGTATGTGTGTGTGTGTGTGTGTGTGTGTGTGTGTGTGTAGTAGAGGAAATACAGCTAGAGTTTAGCACTGGCTGGTCTGCATTACGTAAGTCCTGGTCTGAAAACAAAACTTATAACCTACACGCAGTGCCAGAGTAAGTTCCACAAAATATTTAGAGCTTTGTATTGTACTAGGACTGTATTGGGACTCGCATTGCCATGTGCTGGGTGTTTCACAGAGATCACAGAAAATTCTGTTTATATTTGTTCATAATGGAAGTGTTTAAAGTCATTCTAACCGTTACATTCTTTCTCTCTCTACAGACATTTCCAGTTATATTGTAGGAAAAGCTATTTGTGCAGAGACAGAGGATGAACAGGGTGTGAATGTGAGCGATACTGCTGTGAGTGTTCTGAACAGCAGCCTGACCACAGTCTTCGTCCCTCTCGTTTACATCTTCATCTTCATTGTGGGGTTGCCCACCAACACCATGGCCGTCTGGGTGTTCCTCTTCAGAACGAAGAAGAAGCATCCAGGGTCCATCCTAATGGCCAATCTAGCGCTGTCTGACCTGCTGTTCATCATGTGGCTCCCACTGAAGATCGCCTACCACTTCAACGGCAACGACTGGGCCTTTGGGGAGCCACTGTGTAAAGTTCTAGTGGGGTTTTTCTATGGGAATACATACTGCTCCACTATCTTCATAGCATGCATCAGTGCCCAGCGCTACTGGACGATTGTGCACCCACTTTCTCAGAAACTGAATAACCAGGTAATAGTGTGTATATGTGTTTGTGTGTGGATTGTAGTCTGGGTCCTCACTGTACCGCTCTACCTGTATAACCAGACTGTTAAAATCCTCAATCTCAACATAACCACCTGCCACGATGTCAATCGCCGCAATCAAACACATTTCCCTGTTGGATATTTCCTGACCATGGGCACTGTGGGATATGGAGTTCCCTGTGTGGTCTGTATAGTGTCCTACCTGCTGACCTTTCGCTCCCTCAGCAGGTCCGTAATGGATACCAGCGGCAAAAAGAAGAAAAAGAAGGCTATAATCCTCATGATTACTGTGCTGGTGATGTTCCTGGTCTGCTTCACTCCCAGTAACATCATGCTGATGGTGCATTACTCTCTGCTGGGTGTAGAGCATCAGAATTATGTCTATTTTATCTACATGGTTGCTCTGTGTCTGGGCAGCCTGAACAGCTGCCTGGACCCGTTTGTGTATTATTTTATCTCGGAGGAGTTCAGAGATCATTTGATGAACTCGCTGATGTGCCGTAGTGAACGTACAACCAAACAGATGATGGTTTCCTCCAGACCTTTAAAGGTCACAGGAGAAATTCCAATGTTTCCAACAAACACAACAACATCTACCGTGGAACATCCAATCGAAGATTCTCTGAATGCAGCACAAGATTAGCAGAATAAATGGACAGTCTGACGTGATCAAATAATGAATTTTGTCAGGAATCCGTTCATTACGTTTACATGCTCTTGAGTAATCACATACTGGGAAAACCCTTGGTCTACACGAGTCAGACTGTAATTTGATTTCTAATTTGCAAGGAGGCAGTAAACTCATAGAAGAAGATGTGACAAAAACTCATATACTCAAATTTCATGCTGTGGCTTTAATCAGTGAAAGCTCATTGTTTAGCTGCTTTGCCCACAATCAGTGAGTTTCTGTTTCTGTTATTCTTAACTACAGATGCAGCACTGGTTTGCCTCAGGGTGGCGCTGTAGCAAATTAGTTCACTTATTTGGTGTTTCATAGCCTAGCAATTGTAACTATGCGTGGGGTACCTCTGAAAATCTTTACAATATGCCACAGCATATTTGTACATCTGAAAACTCACCCAGTTTCACAAGAGACTGGTGGATTGTGAATTGGAACTTATTTCTTCAACCAAAAACAAAAGAGGAGGTGTGCGAGGCAGTACGTTACCAAGCTAGAATTGAGAACTTCCAGAAGACGAATTGTTAATTTAAACATTTTTCTGCCATTGAAGCTACCCTCAGCACAGCTACAGCAAGTGAGTTAGCAGCCAGTCAACACTGGATACCCTTATTGTGAACTTGCCTGCACATATATCTTAAGAACCACTTTATGTGCATAAATGTAAATATGATTTACTCATCAATTAGATATGCAGGGCGGCTCAGTGGTGCAGTGGGTAGCACTGTCTCGCAGCAAGAAGGGTCTGGGTTTGATTCCCCGGCCGGGCGATCAGGGTCCTTTCTGTGTAGAGTTTGCATGTTTCCTCCTACAGTCCATACACATGCAGTCAGGCTAACTGGAGATACGTAATTGTACCTAGATGTGTGTGAGATTGAGTATGTGCCTTCTGCCCAATGAGTGCTGGAATAGGCTCCATCACCACTGATGATTGAGAGTGAGTGAATTATATACAAACTTCATATACCTGATTATATATATATATATATATATATATATATATATATATATATATATATATATATATGTATATATATATATATATAATCATTAGATCGAACTGTCCCAATTGTTGAATCACATTAACACATTAATAAACTACTTAATAACATTACTAAATTACTGTGCAATTTATTAGATATTTGAGATGCTACTTAAGCTTTAAAGATTAATTGCTAAGCTTATATTACTAGACCATTTAGTAGTGTGTATTAATCTCTTAAGTATCAGTAATAGATGCACTCTTATACAGTTCTATCTTTGCAGTTTAGTGTAGTTGTTGCCATTTACTGACCCTTGTTCTTTAGAATATGCTGATTGGTCCAGCGAAAAATAACACAGATATATCGCTTCTGATTGGGGATAATACCAAACTGAATACATGATCAAACTGAACACAGAACAGCAGACAAACTGAACGCAAAGTGAAAGCCTGAAAGATGCTCTGCCAGACAACGACAATGCGCATGTACCAGAGTGATTCCCTGCTGGTCAGCATTCTAGAAAAGTCACCAATTGTAGTTTTCCTGTTAAAACTGGTGTGAACATTCATTCATTTGCATTATATTATTATATAGCAGCTTATAGATGTCTGATCTGTACACTATGCTACTATACATATACTAGCAACCAAGTGAGTCTGAGAGAGTCTGTAACTAAGCATGTGCTGAAATGATATTTAATATCAGGATAATTAACATTTATCATGGTTTGTCACGATATTGCATTTTAAAAAATGCATGTCTGCATGTTTGGAGGTAAACCATCTATGTCAGAAAAGTACTGTGTTGGTGTTAACAATTGTGAAATAAAAAGATCATTGCATATAATATTTAAAAAGTCTAAATGTTGATGATATTCATTGTGTGTATGGTGAATTATTAGGCAAGATTAATTATGAAGTAAGATTGATTTACAACTTACTTTGACCAAAGTGCTGTACAGAAGAGTCATAAAATATTTATGACTCTTCTGTCTTATGGCCTGCTTATACATATAATATGTATAAGCAGGCCAATCCATTAAGCGCTTTAAAAACAAATAAAAGCACTTCAAACGAAAGATGCCTGAATTCTAAAATGTACTAGCAGCCAATGAAGCAAAGCAAAGACTGGTGTAATATGCTTTTGATCATCAACCTGGCAGCAGCATTCTGCACTAATTGTAGAACTGTACAACCTCATTTCCAAAAAAAGTTGGGACCATGTGCAGAATGTAAATAAAAATAGAATGCAATAAGGTGCAAATAATGCAAACCATATTTTTAAAGGAAAATACTACAAATACAACGCATCAAATGTTGAAACTGAGAAATGTTATTGTTTTTTTGAAAAATATATGCCCATTTTGAATTTGATGCCAACAGCTCATTCCAAGAAGGTGGGCATGTTTACCACTTTGTTTCATCACCTCTTATTTTAACAGCACTCTGTAAGCATTTGGGAACTGAGGAGGCACTGCTGTAGTTTTGAAAGTGAAATGCTTTCCCATTCTTGTTTAACATAGGATTTCAGCTGTTCATCAATTTGGGGTCTTTTTTGTCATATTTTTCATTTCATACGTCTCCAAATGTTTTCAGTGGTATTAGATCTGGACTGCAGGCAGGCCAGTTTAGCACCCAGCCTCTTAATATGGAGCAATGCTGTTGGAATACATACAAGATGTGGTTTGATATTGTCTTGCAAGGACTTCCCTGAAAAAGACGTCATCTGGATGGCAGCATGTGTTGCCAAAACATGTATATATTGTTCTGCATTAATGGTGCCTTCACAGATGTGCACGTCACCCATGCCATGTGGACTAATGCACCTCGATACCATCAGGAATACTGGCTTTTGAACTGTGCACTGATAACAAGCTGAGTGGTCTTTAGCCCAGAGGAGACAACGCCCATAATTTCCAAACAGAATTTCAAATTTTGATTTGTCAGACCACAGGACACTTTTCCACTTCACCTCAGTCCATTTTTAATGAGCTCAGGCCCAGAGAAGGTGGGAGTGTTTCTGGATCCTGTTTATATTTGGTTTCTTCTTTGTGTTTTAGAGATTTAACTTGCATTTGTGGATGCAGTGATGAACTGTTTTCATAGAAAGTGTTTGTAAGAAGTGTTTCTGAGCCCATGCAGTGATTTTCACTGTCAGATTCATGTCCGTTTTTAATGCAGTGCCGTCTGAGGGCCCAAAGATCACAGCCAGCAAATACTGGTTTTGGCCTTGTCCCTTACATACAGAGATTTCTCCAGATTCATTGAATCTTTTAATGATATTATGTACCGTAGATGATGAAAAGCTAAAGTTCTTTGCTATTTAATGTTGAGAAACATTATTCTTGAATTGTTGCACTGTTTGATGGTGCAGTCTTTCACAGAGTGGTGAACCCCTCTTCATCTTTACTTCTGAAAGACTCCGCCTCTCTGAGATGCTCTTTTTATACGCAATCATGTTATTGAGGTGTTGACAATTAACCTTCAGGTCTTTTTTTTGGAATTACACAACATTACCAGCCCTTTGTTGCCCTCATCTCAACTTTTTTGAAATGTGTTGTTGGCATGAAATTTAAAATGCGCATATATTTTTTTAAAAAAACAGTAAAATTTCTCAGTTTCAACATTTGATTTGTTGTCTTTGTACTATTATGCGAAGACATTTTCTTCACTCTCACATTTTTTTTCTCTCTCTTTTTTTATCCTCTCTTTCTCTAGATTAGTCTAGCATGTTCAGCAAAAAAAATAAAGCTCTCTAAAAAGGATCTGTTTAAAACTCCAAGTGAGTCAGGGACATCTTTGTTGTAGAAACATTGTGACCTGATCGATAAATCAGATTAAAAGCACTCAGGTCACATACTGTGCAGAGCTTGTGATAATAAATGAGTCTGAGTGTCAGTGGATAAATAAACAGTACTCATAAAGAACAGGCTTCCACAAAGCATGCAACTCAACCTCTCTGCTTGTGTAGTTGCCAAAAGACACATTTGGTGCACTTCCCTGACCTGGTGTTCTACAAGGTTCTATAATAAGGCCCATTCTCTTTTCATAGTATAAAAAAGTATATTTTTTTATCTCTTTTCATAGTATAAACATTTTTATTTTTTTTATTTTTGTTTATTTTATTTTTGTTTATTTTTGTAAGTGATTAAGACAATAATTAGAACAAAACCACAGCACAGAATAGTTTAGATTTTAAAAACCATCATATGCCGAGGCTTTGGGCAAGGAAGAAAATAGCTCTTGGTCCCGACAAAATAAAGAAAAGATTTAAGCTTTGCAATATTTCTGAGATGGAAAATGCTTTTAATTTGTGTATCAAATTTGAGGTCTGACACAAAAGTGACACCATTATTTTTCAGATATCTTAACGCATGAGGATAACTGACTGTGATTATTGGACTACTAATGAGGTGGGGAGAGCCAAATGAATTTACTTCTGACTTGTCTTAGTTTAATTGGAGGAAATTGAGAGCCATGAAGGAGCAGTTATGATTAGCACTCATGAGGATGTATAGCTGCATGTCACCCACATAACAGTGATTATTTGCCTTAATGGGAGGTTATACTATGAAAAGAGAATGGGCCTTATTATAGAACCTTGTGGAACACCACAAGTCAGGGAAGTGCACCGAATGTGTCTTTTGGCAACTATACAAGCAGAGAGGTTGAGTTTACATTTACATTTACATTTACATCATTTAGCAGACGCTCTTATCCAGAGCGACTTACAAAAAGTGCTTTGTCTATCCAGAGAAAGAATCTTCGCTAGCTACCGATAGGTTAGAGAGAAAGTCAGTCCTAAGCTCAGATACTGGTAGAATCAGAAGGTCATTGACACCTAGTGAAAAAGGGACAGAGTTAAACACAGAACAGTGCAATACGATAAAATACATAAGTGCTGCATGCTTTGTGGAAGTCTGTTCTTTATGAGTACTGTTTATTTATCCACTGACACTCAGACTCATTTATTATCACAAGC